ATATATATATATATATATATATATTGTTAATTTTCCACTAACCATCATAGCAACCGGTCTGAAAAGTGCTTTCAAATTGTCAGGTAATTCAGTACGTCCAGCGTAACCTGGATTCATTGTAATGAAACAAGCACATGTTGGATCTAATTTCAATTCAGTACCCTCGAATATTAATGTCTCTTTGGCAGCGTTTATTGCTCGTTGTATGGTTAAAATTTGTTGAGCTACTACGGAAAGTACTTCCAAATCAATTCGATTAAATTCGTCGAAACAGGACCAAGCACCGGTTGCAGCTAAACCCTGATCAAAATGATAAACAATAAAAAAAGATTATAATGAAGTTTTGAAGATACAAATAAAATTACAAAAAATTTTGTTTAACCTTGAAAAATTTCCCTAATGCTATATAATCCAAGCCTTCGGAACAATTGAAAACAACGCATTGTTTAGCAACAGCTTTTGCCATGTCCTTCGTGGTTTCTGTTTTACCAGTACCAGCAGGACCTTCTGGTGCACCGCCAAGATTTAAATGCAATGCACCGAATAATGTTCTGTAACACCTATCTGTCAATGGTGTTATCACTAATCTCGACGAATTACCTAAATACTCATAAGCGTATTGTAATGTCGTGTTTATCATCATCACGCATAAATCGTTTTTCTAGAATGATTAAATAAATATATATAAAATATTATAAAAAAAATTATATACTAATATATAATATATGAAATATGATTAGATTTATATTTTAAAATATAACAATTAAATAAGTATACGAATACAGTATACTAACTGTCCAATAATATCTCATTTGAGAAAGCCATTTAAAATCGGTTGCTTCGATAACTCCTTGTTCAAATAATTCTGTTAAAACGTCTCTTCCGTGAACATCTAAAGTTACTAAAGCTTCTACAATAAAAATAAAAAAAAATAAAAAAAAATATGTAATATAATTATAGCGATAACTTAGGAAAATATTTATCTCTGATATATATGTACCCATAATTATGAAAGTGGTCTAATGTAAGTTATATATCTCTTATTTTGAGATATTTAATGGATAATATTTGAACACTAAATAAATTCCATATGATATTGAAATAACATACACTATCTAACGGTTCATTTTTGATAATATGGTGAAAATAACATTGAATTAATTTAGTTTAAAATGTGGTGTGAAATAACTAATAAATTCATTTTGTTTTTTTAAATTTTAACTTTCAGACCATTTTCATAATTCTGGACATATATATATAAATTTAAAAATTATATAATTAGATGATTATCTTCACCCAAGGTCGTTCGATTTTGTTTGGACAATTTGCCTCGTACTAAGGAGACAATTTCATTAAGTTCATTTGTACAAGTTTGAATATAATTTTTAAGACCGTCAAGGCCAGAAAAAAATGCATCTGTCGTATGAGCAGTCCAATAAAGTTTGCTGACACATAAAATTGTTTGACCAGGCCAATCTAACGTCCATAGTGATCTAGCTTTAGTTTCGAATGCATCTTTTGCTCTTATGACCTGGAACAAATTTCATAATCATAGGTAATACACATAGTATTAAACCAATGAAAATTCAAAAATACTATCATTATCTAATAATATTTGATTAAATAGTAACAGTTATATGATTTACTTGTGCCCTAACGCTCTTCTTCATAACAGTCTCCAATTGTAAAAGCCACTTTTCTACTTGTCCTCGTGCAGCAACGGTGTCAATTATATCTTCCAACATGACCGTTTCACCTTCCGAAGATTCCATAGTAGTTGCTTCCATTTTATCCGTGAAACTAAGTTTAGCAATACCCTCGAAACATTTCTTCAAATGTGGTTGTACTCTGTAGAACCCCCCCATTAAAATCAGATTTGACATTAAAATCAAATTTTACGAAGCAGGTATTCCTTTTTTTTTTAAATATAAAAAGTAATCAATTATTTTCTTTTTTTTTTGGAATTTACCTGGTAGGATCTTTAGTTTCCGATAATATCTCTAATAACTCGTCGTTAGATAAAAAGAAAAATCTAGCAAAGTATAATCTTTTTTTCTCCAAATACGCTACCAAACCTTTTTGCACTAGATCGAGTAAATTTGTGCATTTCTTTAAACGTTCCAACATCTTTTCGATTTGTATAACCGACATTACTTTTGGATCATTTACAACAACTGTCATGATCTCTCGCCAAATCTGTTTTATATTAGATAAAATTATTAGATTTTATTTTTTTTTTGACAAAATTAACAATTACGAATGAACCAAAAAAAGAAAAAAAGTACCTTATCAACGGCACTAAATCGTCTACCTTCTTCCGGCATTTGTTGTTGAATATCCGGAGATGAAAATATTGGTTCAAGATACATCCATGTTGATTGCACGGCTAACCAATAATCCATGATATCTTGCAACAAAAGTAATTTTGTTTCCCATTCACTGTAAAAAAAAGTAAATAAGAAAAACAAAATTAATGAATGAACAAAATTTGACGTTATTTTTATAAACATAAATATTATTAATTATTAGTTAGTTAGGTATGAATCAATTAAATTCTCACAGTGTTTCTTGTTCAAATGGTTTGATGTAAAGAGAATTTTTCATAGTCTGTGCTTTAGTCAAATGATCATCCAATAATAATTGTATTTCATCGACACTTGCTATAACGTAAGTGCCAGTATCGCGATAAGGATTAACCGTAAATGATACGTCTGCCCAATCCAAATACATTTTATTCAATGCTTTCTCCAAATTTCCTTCCTTCGTGGCATACTCCGAAATTATATCAAATTTTTTAACGTAATCGGCCAAACCATAATCCAAAACCTATTAATAAATTAGGCATTTTTGAATCAATTAAAAATTATTCACCTCATATTTTTTTCGTTAAATTATAATAAATAATAATTCGTACCTTGGCCAATGTCATACTTTTATCAATTTTTATCGGGAATCCAACAATTTCCGAAACCTGTTCCCAATGACGAATTTTCATAAATGGATTTCCTAATGTCATTATAACCGGCATATGTTCTTTGAATTCTTCTATCCTACTAACTATAACTTCCGCTAATTTTTTAGCTATTGGTTCCTGAATAATTTTTTCCAATTTATACGCGGTACGATAAGCAGTTGCAGTTTCTGATTCTATTTTTTCCGGATCGTGCGAACCAATCATAGAATTCATCCAATTATCGTAACTCGTCAAAAATTCACATGCCACGTCGTATAATTTTTTGTAAGGTGATAATTTATCAGCAATCTAGGACAGAAGATTTGTGAAAGTTTTTAATAATAATAATTATTATTATTATATTTGATAAAATAAAATTAATCTTTTTTTTTCTTTCGTTTACCTGTTTCCTTAACGGATATTGAGACATTTCCCAATCGAACAATTGTTCCTCCTCGTTAAAACTATCGATCAGTTCCATGGCAGCTATTATTTTGTTTTCCAAACTTTTAGCCTTTTTTTGGTAACGATATATTTCATCGATATTACCCCAATATTGCAATTCGTTGCAATATTTGGCATAAAGTTCCAAATCCTTTTCGAATTTTTCTATTCTATCCTTCAACATTTTTTGATATTCACCAGTTTTACTTGCTATTATTTCACGATGTTGTTCAAAAATAGATGATATCTTGTGATACCTGTAAAATTTTTTTCTTTTTAAATAATGCACTTTCAATCGTTGTTGATAGTAACAAAAATATGATATAAAAATGCACATTCACCATTGATAAGCAAAATTGTTTGTTTTTAATTCAACTGGCGTTAAAATCCTATAATCTGATATAAAGGTAATATATTTTTTTAAATCCTTCAAACGTTTTTCAAGGATAAAAATCGTTTCAATTTCAGCGATATTTATAAATTCTTTTAATTTAACAAGCTCAGAAGTATTCGGTGGTATACTTAATGCATGATCCGCTATATTTTGATACTGTTCACCTATACTGATTATTATATTATATTACGAATTAATTTTTAATTAATTATAATCAATAATTCGTTTAATATTATTACAAATCTTGTTTCTTATTCTTCTTTTTTTTTAAATAATTTTTTCTATAATACTTACTATCGCATATCTAGTTGGTAATCATCAACCATATGAGCGAGTAAAATTTCTTTCAAACGATCAGCTTCAAATACTATATGATCGATTAAATCTTTCCTACGAATTTCGAAAAGTTTTCCAAAATAAGTACGATCTAACATAACTGGTAGATTAATACTCAATCGATAATAATGTTCAACTATCTCGCAATATTCTTCGAATGATCTCGGTGGATCGGATTTTATAAATGGTTCTACTACATCCTCATGTTCAGTTTCATCGATTAATTTTGAATAATTTGTAAAATCTTTCAATTGTTCTTCAGCCTCCCTTTTATGTATTTTTATCAATTCGACGATTTTTTTGGAATAATGTTCGAGCAAATCCGATGATATTACTGGCTAAAATAAAATTATACGTTCAATCGATTTTTAAAATTATTTTTATACTAATTAAAACTTAACTCGTACGTGTGTGTACCTTCAACAGTTTTTTTTTATTAGAATTTTCGGATAGTTCATTGTCTATACGTGGATAAATCGTAACGGATTCGTAAATTGAATGTAAAAATGACGTTAATGTTTCAGCAAATGTTGCGAATGAAGGATCAAAAGTAATAGTTTTGTTTTTAACTACGACTTTTACATTGAATCCACAATTTTTTCCCTGGGACAAGAAAAAAAGAAATTTAAATTTTTGTCCATAAAATCTTTCGAATAAAATGTTTTATTTTGTAAAATAAAATAAAGTAAAATAAAATAAAAAATATAATATGTATATATGTATATATACATATTTATAATAAAATACGTATATATTACATTTATTATATTTTATTTTATTATTATATTTATTATTATAAATTTATTTGATAAAATTATTTTAAAAAATAAAATAAAATAAGATATTTTATTTTTTTTTTATTAAATAACTTACACCAACATCCATGAGATAGTTAATATAATCTTCTATAGAATCGAGACAAAGTTCTCTCAATTGTGTTTCCATGATCAAAGCAAGACAATCGTAAGTCCTTTTTATTTCTAATTGATTAATCGTTGTTTCAGTTTTATGCGTTTTACGTTCTTTTTTCCTAAACTTTAATAAAAAAGAAAATGATACAATAAATATTTGTCAAACTATCAAAATGATATAAAAATGGAGTAGAAATTTTTTGTATTTTTCCTTACGTTACTGAATATACTACGGATTTTTGGTAACCAATTTTTCTCAAGATTATTTCGCATTCTTTGCAACATCTTCGAGACCTTGTAATCGAAACTAGCGAGATCGTAAGATTGTCCGTAAGATGCCAATTTTTCAACATCGATTTGTCTTTTATTACTGTGACAAATATAACAAAATGACTTGTATGTTAAAACATATATATATTAGGGTGGGTCAAAAAAATGACATATTTTTTTTTTCAAGTGCGACGGAAAAATGGGTTGCTAGACACTTTAAAACAATTCTCACCAAATATGAGCTCTTAATTTTAATAGGAAGATCCTCCGCATCGCAGTTTTTCATTTTTTTTTCAGTCCAATAGATTAAAATTCATACCTCATTATTTATTGATTGTACAGAAAAATGTTCTGGACGAATTTTGTAGGAACTTTAATGCGCTACAAAAAAGGTATCTTATATTTTTTCCGTAAACCTCACCATTTGAATAATATTGAAGATTTAAATTTGATGATTTTTAGACAAATTTCATTTTTGTTTATGAATTTTATAACTCGACAATAAATGACAATTATAAGATGCGCAATACAAATTTTTGAAGGAAATTAACTGCTCTATAAAAATGGTCATCAAACTTTCATGTGTAGTGATTTTTGTCTCTGAATATCTTTTGAACGCTTAGTTTAATCGCCAAAACATAACACACCATTTTAATAGAGCAGTTAATTTCCTTCAAAAATTTGTATTGCGCATCTTATAATAGTCATTTATTGTCGAGTTATAAAATTCATAAACAAAAATGAAATTTGTCTAAAAATCATCAAATTTAAATCTTCAATATTATTCAAATGGTGAGGTTTACGGAAAAAATATAAGATACCTTTTTTGTAGCGCATTAAAGTTCCTACAAAATTCGTCCAGAACATTTTTCTGTACAATCAATAAATAATGAGGTATGAATTTTAATCTATTGGACTGAAAAAAACAATAAAAAACTGCGATGCGGAGGATCTTCCTATTAAAATTAAGAGCTCATATTTGGTGAGAATTGTTTTAAAGTGTCTAGCAACCCATTTTTCCGTCGCACTTGAAAAAAAAAATATGTCATTTTTTTGACCCACCCTAATATATATATATTTTTAAAAATTTGTTTATCGACAAACCTGAATTCTCTGAACCAATAATCCAATGATCTACGCATATATTTGTTGTAAAGAATCACTGTTTTTTCTATCTTGAATTTTTTTCTTTTATATTTAACATTGTGTTCAATAGAGAATTGTTTAATCTCTTCACTCTCCTTTGTTATTCCTGACTATTCAATTTAATTCTATTTATATTCGATAATATATTTATTAAAATGTAAAATAAAGAAATGAATAAGAAAAAAAGAAAATAAGAAACAAAAATTCAACCTTTTCAAACAATTCGTAATCGGTCCTCGAAGGTTCTTGCAAAACAAAATCAACAACTGCCTTTTTAATATTCAATTTATAATCGTGTTTCGTTTCTTCGATAAGTTCGTTTAAATATTCTTGAAATTTCATTCGCCTTTCATTCGGAAGTAAATTTAAAATATTTTCCAATGTTTTATCATCGATCGATTTAATGTCTATGTCATCGATTGCATGAACAATGTAATAATAATATCTCAAAAGTTCCTCGTCATTTTTAGTCAAGTAAATATTTTCTTTACTATCTGTAAATTTATCCTTTTCTTTTTCTTCTTCTTTATCTTTTTTCATAACGATCGCTTTGACCAATGACTGACGAAATTCAGCCCTTTTTTCTCGAAGGGATAAATAAAGTTTACTCTTTGAAAGAATCTTTTCATGTTCCTTTGTATTTTTTACCCTTTGACACTGTGATATCCTGAAGATACATTATTGAATTTCATTCATTTTAGTTGATTTCATCTTGTTTTTGTTCGTTGTTATATAATTAATAATATTTTATATACATTACATATACAATTATAATATATATATAATTAAATATAAAATAAAATATAAAAAGATAATTAAAATATTATTAAAAAATAATTAAAAATAAATTAAAAAAGAATATAAAATAAAAATAGAAAAAAATTATATATATATATAGAATATTATTAATATAATATTATTAATATAATATTATATTATAACATTATTTTTTAATATATAATATATATAAAGATCTTTTACGAGAGAAAATTAAAAAGCAGAGTTTAATGTTTTTTTTCTCGCGTACAAAGAAAAAATAAAAAGTAAAATAAAATTGGTCGTTTAATCTAAAAAATTTTGTTTTTGTAGACTAGTATGAACCTTGAAATATTTTCCATGATATGATCTTTACTAGATCGCGATCGATCCAACTCAGGAATTCTTGCAATCCTTTGCATTTTACCATCGGTATCCCTTATTTGAAAAGTACGTTTTTTCGTAGTACATTCAATACATTTTTCCGATAATTTCGATGGTTTTCTTTTACGATTGCATTCTTTTTTAATATTATCTTCTTCGACAATGTCATTGGAACATTCCATTATTTAGGATACTTATGCTATTTATCTTTTTCTATGAAAACAAAAATGAGATTTAAATGATTCAATTAATTTCTTAATGAATTATTTTACCATATATATATATATAATTATCTTACCATATATATATTTAAAAACAAATCCAAATTCTTAATCTATTCCATTATGCTATTTTATATAATGATTAACATTTTATCGTAATAAATAATACGAACGTTTTTAAGCCTTTGTTGTAACTGATAAACCCGTTATAGTGACGTTAATATATTACTTCGTATATTATCTTCGCATATGTTACCTCAAAGTTTTATAATAGAAAAAATTGTTCAAACTTATTATTATCGATCATTGTTGCACTATTACATAAATTTCAAATATCCCATAGATTTAAAATTCTATTAGATATATATAACACATAATAATTGATTCGAACACTCGTGCGTAGTTTACCAAATAAAACCGTACAATGATTAACAATTGTTCATAGACATTTTCTACTTGACGTTACACGAGCAAAACACGTTTCCATAGTTTTCATAATAATCGTTAGCAACGCGACTAACAATGAAGTATTATGTATATACAGGGTGATCTTGAAAAAAAACACTTACTTTGACAGAAAAACGATTCTTTTTTTGATCTATCAAATTACATAAAAATATTTGTTGACATGATTGCGATAGAAACAAAATACTTAAATGAAATACCTTGTATAAATGTGTATACGTTTGTATAAATCATATAAGGAAGAAGGAATAATTATATTATTTGAAATAATAGAAGGAAAAGAATAAATAAAAAAAAAATAATAATAATAATACACTTTGTACGTAGATATTTTCTTTGAAGAGAAAAAGAATTAAATTTC